GAGCCCCATAATCCAGGCCGACCCTCCCTCCCTCCCTCCCGGTGCCAGTACTGAGGGAGCGCCGCACTGTCGGAGGGAGATGGATATACTCTAGGGGGGACTCGAGCCCCATAATCCAGGCTGACACTCCCTCCCTCCCTCCCGGTGCCAGTACTGAGGGAGCGCCGCACTGTCAGAGGGAGATGGATATACTCTAGGGGGGGACTCGAGCTCCATAATCCAGGCCGACACTCTCTCCCTGGTGCCAGTACTGAGGGAGCGCCCTGCTGTCGGATGGCACACATATATATTTTCCCGTCTCCCCCTCTCAGGGCTCTCAAGGCCTGTTGGTAGAAGTGCGGAGCGTTGGCAGAGTTTGGTGGGGGGGGATTGAGGCGGGGGGGGGTGGTTTGAGTGCATAGGAAGGCAGTCCTCCTGGGGCCAGTAAATGACCAACTGGGTGACTTTAGCCTCTCGCAGCGAGCAAATCAGCTGCTGGGTTTGCTCCCTAGTCCGTCACGATGCAGAACAAATTGTGTTTTGGCCTGAGCTCCGCTGGGTCCTGGCCGGGATCCTGGTGTTTACCAACTGGGCTAGGCTGTTTGATCTGTTTTAATCTGGGGTCTGCACTGAACACTGATCTCTCAGCTGACAGGGACGGGGAGCCAAGATACTATGCAAACTTTGCTGGCTGTTTCCACCTTGAAGCTAAATACAGGCAGTGTTTACACAGTAAGGTCCTCCCTCGAGATAACAAGGTGTAGAGCTGGACGAACACAGCAGGCCGAGCAGCGTCAGAGGAGCAGGAAGGCTGACGTTTCGGGCCTAGACCCTTCTTCAGACCCGTGTTCATCCAGCTCTACACCTCGTTATCTCAGATTCTCCAGCATCTCTGAAGGTCCTCCCTAGCCTCCCTCTCTCTCAACTCTCTGTCCGCGACTTGCCCCCTATGGGTTCTGCTGGAGCTTCGCCTCCATTGGGCGCGGGAGGGGTAGAACAGAAGAGGATGAGAAGTGGTCTCTTGGCTCCCTGAATGAGGGAAGGTAGCCATAAGTTTGCTATAGAACGTAGAACAGTACACGCCCTTCGGCCCACGATGTTGTGCCGAACTTTTACCCTAAACCTGAGGTCTATCTAACCTCCGCCCCTACCTTATACTATCATCCATATGCCTGTCTAATAGCCACATAAATGCCCTGATATGCCATGTCGCCTCTCTCTGCACCGTCTCAGCAGCAGGCTACTGAAGGCGCAGCGACATTTTAAGTGTGGTCCCAGAACTGTCGCACAGGAATACAGGGTTTAGAAAGTCCAGAGCGATATCGAAAAGCCACCTTTCTCACCGTCCATGGCCAGTTCAGGACCTGAGACCTCGCTGCGTCCATGCACTGGTCTGAGTCCTGCTCTCGCCTCCAGGTCTCATTTATCCCCCACCCCCTTCCCCCTCACCCTCAACCCTTCCCTCCACCCCAGCCGGCCTGGGTGCAGTCTGCTCCCACTTCTCCTGCAACCCCCCCACCAACCACGACTCGCTTCCCACTCTGGTGTCCTACTCATCTCCCGAGAGGAGGGGGGAATACAGAGACCGGGGAACTGTGCACGTTGCTTGCGGGTCTAACTGAGGGGTGGCGGGGGTGGGGGGGGTACGGAGACCGGGGAACCGCGCACGGTGCTCCCAGTGCGGGTCTAACCGAGGATGGAGGGGATACGGAGACCGGGGAACTGCGCACGGTGCTCCGAGTGCGGGTCTAACCGAGGATGGGGGGGATACGGAGACCGGGGA